TTCTTTCTTTCTTTCTTTCTTTCTTTCTTTCTTTCTTTCTTTCTTTCTTTCTTTCTTTCTTTCTTTCTTTCAGTTATTGCTGCTGAATAATTATGCACTTTTTATGAAAAAAAACATGTCCAAATTAAATATATAGTAAAATAAAAACTATTTAAACATACATTTTGATCACTAAAGTAAAGGAAAATGTGAGAATATGAGCTGAAAGGTAATCATTTAATGAGTGCACACCAGCTCAACCCCTCCGCTCCACATGAAGGACATGAAGGACATGCTATGGATGTGTTTTTAACAAGGAAAATCATTTTCTTTTTATTGTTTGCAAAATAACTACGACAGAACTCTCCTGACTGAATCAGGAAATAAAACAAAATGATCGGCTTCAAGGAGGGAGACAGACCTGCTCCTGACCAGGTTAACCTTAGAGAGAATCTTACTATGTTAATAGAAACTGAGGCTAAGTAAAATCTCTTTATGAAACTGAAAACTCAGAGTTTGCCTGATTTCAGGTTTTAAAAGACTTTGTGTTTTTCAGAAATCAGATTTTTTAAACGGGCCCCAGGAAAACTCTCAATCTCCACAATGTCGGTTGAGTTTCTACTGTTTCTAATTTGCATCATGTGCAGTCATACAACGGAAAAAAACAAACAACACAAGTAGTTGGTTATGAAAAGCTTTCTGTATAGACTAATTAATCACAGTAACTGATTGTGAATTGAGTTGAGAATTGAAGATGGTGGAAAAGTGTGCAGCAGCTAAGCTGAGGTGCTAAAGCACTTTGTAATCCCTGCTGTCTTTGGTCTCTTAGGAGTTACATGATCTTCAGCTTTAACAGCACATTTCTGCTGCCTGGACCTGTAAAAGGCGTATCACCTAATTATGAATCTGATGTCTGCACTTATTTGCACCTCCTGTTATCACATACGGCCCGTTAAAATTAATTTGGACCTCAGCTTTTACACACTGGGATTCACACAAATAAAACAACTCCATGTAATCTCTGGTAAACTGGAGCTGCTCCTCTCTTTCCCACATGACCTACCTCACGTTCTTCAGATCAAATCAGACACACAGGTGGTCCATTCAAAATGTAAATGCTGGTTTTTTAAAAATAACACAACTATTGGTTGTTGATTTAATTTATTGGAAAACAACAGGAATTAATTTAGATTTTCAAACATCCACCACAGTAAAGGAGGCGGGACTAGGGCTGCTTCCATGGAAACCCTGATGTTTGATTGGTTGTTTTTTACATAGTAAGACAAGACAACTTCTTCCTGTATCATTACCAGCAGATATCTAACATCTACCCCAAACTTAAACTTCACACCTTATTTTCTAAACATAACCCCCCCAAAATAAAGAAAAAAAAAGAGTTGATTGTATCACTCTCAAACAAAAGGTTCCCATTTTGCTAGTAAAATGCAGCAAGAACAAGAACAAACCCACACACACCATACATGTTTTCATGTGGCTATATGCAGTTGTACTTTCTATTGACTCTCATCGACTTAATTCTTTTTTTTTTGTCATTTTAATGCCCTAACCCTGACACTATTTCTATACATAAATATAACCAGTGGATAAATAACCCTAGTGTTTACCTAAATTTAACTAACCTACCAATTAGGACAAGCAAAAAGTCAATTTGTCGGTAAAATTGTGAAAGAATTGTACTTAATCTGGTGCCAAAACAGTAGCACACACACCCAGAGAGACGTGTGGCCAGCTTCTCCCTGAGAGGAAGCAGAAGCTTTCAGCCTCCACAGGTGAGCTACTGATCCATGAGTGTGAGTCAGTTTGAAGTGACAGAGAGAGAAAGAGAGGATACTAACCTTCTGAGGACCTACAGGCCTTACAGAGACCAAAGGTTGGTCCAAATGACGCAAAACCCCATTTTAAACCTAGGATTTGCTTAAGAATATACTCAAGCAAAGCAATTAGGGGTGAAATGCAGTAACTGAAATAAATGTTGGTGTAAAACGTGTGTGTGTTTGGGTATATGTGCGTTTGTGTGTGTGGATTTTAACGTACGCGTGATCTCTATGATCCCAGGTAACCGGGTGTGTTTGTGTTAGAAAGCATTAATGTTCACAGTCTCAGTAGGTAAGCTGTTGATCTGAGTTCACCAAGATTTCCTCCACCATCTGTGTCCCGTTCACACACAAACACACACACACATACTCGTTCTGCCATCGTAGTGAGGACTCCTATTGACTTCCATTGACTTTCGGTCATTTCAACCCTTTCTATGCCGTAACCCTAAAACTAACCCTAAACCTAACCATTACCAATGCATACCGCACTCTAACCCTAACCTATTGACACCTTAGCCCTAAACCTAACCATTAGCAAAATAGCATATCAGGACCGGCAAAATGTCCTCACTTTGCAGCAGCTGGTCCTCAATCTGATGGTGAAATTGGGAAAAAGGTCCTCACTCTGAGGGCTAGACACGCACATCGCAACTCAGCTACCACCTTAGGCATAAACCTAACAGTTAGCAGAAAAGGAAGAGAGGACCAGCTAAATGTTCTCACGTTGATACAAATGTCATTAATTTAAAGCTCAAACAGGAGCACACACTCTGCAGGAGGATCACATGACCGCAGCATTTACTGCGTCGCAAAAAACAACTTGCCAGATCTGTGATAAACAAATCGTGTTGCTTCTATGTATATATGCATATGTTTAGTTGTTGGCTGCCTTCCTCTCATCCTCTCACACAGGCAGTCCAGAATGTTCTGATTTCCTGCCAAGACCTCTGACGTACTTTGCTAATTTCCCTCTTCTGTTTCTTTCCTTTATTCCTGTTTGCATTTGTGGAAACTGTTGTATTCATGTTTCTGAGCAAACAGCTGAAGTAGGAAAGCACGAACTTTATGAACTGGAATTGCTTGCATCAAACCCTGGTGCTACCAGGTGCATCCCCCTCAAAGGATGATCTATTTGCCCTGCAGGAGGATGGATTTGTCTGCCTTGCAAAGATAACCGCAAGAACATGAAAAAGAGCTCCAGCTTAATCCCCAGATCCCAACCTGAGCACAGACCCTGCTCCTCAAATTCAGCGTGATGAATGCACATAGGACAGGCCAATGTTGTGGAATCAGCATGAATCGGGATCCATATGGTGCACTTCTTCTCACTGCTGAGTCTGCTAAAACGTCAGAGAAAATCCAATGGAAGAGGGGGAAGTAAAAGATGCTGTCCAAACCTGTTTTTTTTTTTCTTTTTAACCAGGAATCTAAAAAAAAATAAATGTCAAACTCTTTTTATCTATTTGATCATACATTTAAATGTTGTGTAGGCTTTTCTGGAAGCATAGAAACTCTAGTTTGAAACCCACATTGGAAAGATAACAGGATATTAGCTATCATTACAGCGTTTGAATTAAGGACGTAGCATCGGGCCTCAGACAGAATCATTTGGATTCAACGAGTGAATATTTAAGGCGGTGCAAAGAAGGGGAGGCTCACTGCAGGGAAGGGATTTATGTGAATTATTAAAGTTGCCAATTAGACCAGCTGACATTTAGATCAAAAATGCCATGACACTGGCTTTTAGCAAACTTTCTATCTCCTCCTTCCTCACCAATTCTCTCAAAGGGCAGCAAAGCAGAGACTCCTCCATGAAAAGGAAGACAGCTCAAACTGATGAAAGAGTGGGGTGCACTGCATGAATGCACTCTCACTATTCACCCTTTAAAAGGTAATATATTGTCAAAACTATTTCCTTATCCACCAAAAAAACTAAAATAAAATGTTTCAATCCCTTCCCTTTCTAAAAACTTCAGTTTTTTTGTTTTTGTTTGAATTTTACTTTATAAAATGTTTGAAAATGAGAGATTTTTACAATTTAACA